GGGGTTGGGTGGGTGGGGGGATCCACGCAGCGCTTGCTCATGTCATAGCACCCCTGTTATGGCGCCGCGCGCCAAGGGCCTTTGAGTGTTCAGGGCAGCACAAGGGGATGAAGTCACAGCTGGGCTGAGAGACGGGGCATGACGCATGCCTGCGCACCTCTGCCAGTGCCTTGCCGCCAGCCCTGTCTTGGCGCATGTCCCACAGACACAGGCTGCCGTCAAGGTGGCCTGGGGGGGGTGGGAGTGTTGGGGTTGCGGTAAGATGTGATATGAAGAACAAGAACAATGCATTGGGGGGGATGTAGGGAGCGGGGTGAATGGGCAGGGGTTGAACAAGAGGGCAGGGTGGGGGATAGGTAGGCCTATATATCGCATGTAACCCCCACTTGCGGCCGCCCCCCCCCCCAATGCACACCTGTGAGAATGGTGGTGCCGTCCAGTGACAGTGCCAGGGCCGAGGGCATTTTGGCGCAGGGCAAGCTGCGCACACAGAAGCCGCGCTGCAGGTCCCACACCTGGCGGGGTTCAGGGATTGGGGTTTAGGGTTTTGGCCGGGTGCAGGGAGTTGTTTGGCAGGGTTCATGATTTGTTCAGCGGGGTCCAGTGGGGACAACAGATGCTTTTGGGCGGGGATGTTTTTTTTTTAGTTTCCAGCGGATGCGTGGAATGGTGTGGGGAGGAGGTTGCGTTTGGGCGGCGCATAGAGGGACAAATTGCCCGTGGCCAAGACCCCCACCTTTCAACTACACACACACACACACACACACAACAAACACACACACACACACACACACACAAACACACACACAAACAAACCCAACAGTCCCCACAAGGAAATACCCTACCCCCACCTTGACGCATCGGTCCTCCCCCGCTGACACCGCCACCGACGCGTCGAGCGCGCTGCACGCCACGCACAGCACGCCGCCCCCGTGTCCCGTCAGCGTGTGCTCCTGGCGCCCCGACTCGAAGCTCCAAGACAGGATCCTCTTGTCCCCGCAGGCCGCCAGCAGCCGGCGGCCGTCCTGGGGGTTTGGGGGGGGGTCATTTTCGTGTTTGAATGTCAGGAGCAGGGCTGGGATGTTGCCTTATGAGCTATAAACCCTGAAATCGCAAACCTGGCTAGGCAAAGGCAGGGTGGGGGGGGAGCCAGGGCGGAGCGCAATGGGGCGAGGGCAGCGCACGGCGCCGGCAAGGGCGCTGCTGGGAGCGAGGGGCGCTTCAGGCCGTGTGGTGAACACCCTGTGGCGCCCCGACCCCGCACCCGCGCCCGCCCCCGGCGCCCCTCGCGCCCGCCCTGCTTCCGCAGCCCCTGTACAACGCGCTGTTTCACAGCGCGGCCCCACACACCTGCGTGAAGGCCGCGTCGTTGACAGTGCCCGCCGCGCCCTGGGGTTGAGGGTTGTGGGCAGGATCAGGGACGTGGTATGCAGTTTGAGGGCTCGAGCGGTCCAGGGATTTGCGAGAAAACAGGAGAGTTGCGAGGCTGGCTGGCCCAGACATCACCGCTAGATGAGCTACAGCGGGGGCACGTGAGGGGACGGCTCCTTTGCACGGTCTCTAAAATTCACGGCCGGGGTTTGTATTGTGCAGGGTTTGATGATGATTTGAGTTTAGGTACAACACCAGGGGGCTGGCTGGGGCTATGGTTGGCCCCTCATCACATGATACTAATACGATGTGATCCCTCACATGGTACGCGTTGGTGCTGGTGAGGTTCTGCAGGTCCCACCCTATGACGCCGCGGTCGGTGCCACACGTAGCGACAAAGTGCCCTGCGGCAGCAGATAGTTTGCGGTTGATATTTTGCAATGATTTTTTTAAGCGGCACACATTTTGCGGTGGATAGATACTATACGCACGAGAGACAGTGCCGCATGGCCAAGGGAAGGGCAAGGGTCGCGACACGATTGGCAGGGGCTCGGGCAGCACGCCTGCGCTGCGTGGGTGCCTCCCGTTGCAAGCCAGCTGCCCATCCCTGCGTGCCGCCGGGGGCGGTGGCCCTGCTTGTGCTGACGTGGCACGGTGGTGTCGGGATCAACTCTGTTCGACACGACTGCACTTGCACGCACACACACACACACACACACACACACACACACACACACATCCACACACAAACACACACACACACTCACACACACACACACAAAAATCATCACCCGTCTCACCCGGCCGCATGACGGCCACGCTGCAGACCGACCCCTTGTGCGCCGCCGGAAACACCTTCGTCGGCGCCGCAGGCAGCGACCGCATCGGCGGCGGCGCCACCGGCCCCTCCGGCAACCCCATCAGCTGCTTGAGCGACGTCGCCTGCCCCTCCTGCCCCCGCGCCTGCCGCAAGGGCGCCGCCGCCGCCGCCGCTGTGGCTGTAGCGAAGCCGGCGGCGGCGGGGTCGCAGGCGGCGGCGTTGGCTGCGGCGGCGGCGGCGTCCGAGCTCGCAGTGCGGCGGCCGAGCAGCGCGGACGCGAGCGCGCCGGATGCGACGCCCCGCAGAGTCCCTAGAACCGCCTGCATCGGCTGCTGCTGCTGCGGCGTGGGTGCGACCGCTGCGCCCCGGGCGCCGCCGGCGGCCGGCGCGGGGCTGGGGCCGGGGCCAGGGCCGGCGGCGGCGCCGCCGCCGAGTCCGCCGCGCATGAGGCCTATAAGCTGTCTGTCCATGGCTTGCTCGACCTGTGAAAGCCAATCGATGGTTTTTTTTGAGGGGGGGGGC